CTTGTTCAGTAGAGAGAATGTTTTTAATGCTGCGCAAAAAAACGGCGCATTTTCGGCAGAAAACTCCTGTTACAGGTCCTTGGTAACGAAAAAGTGTATAAATGCAGTTGCTAAATTTAGGGGGCAAATTCTCAATCACGTTGCATGGAATCCAGAATCCATGTTTTGTGGGTCCTTGATACAGAAAAATCGAATGACGGCAGTACGGCCGGCGTGAGTCCGTCTGTGGACAACTCTAGAGGCTCAACAGTTCTGTCGATTTTCTGTAAAATTGATATTCCGCAATCGATCTGGCTGATGTTGCGGCTTCTTCAATTTGAAACTGATATTTTAATTTCGGGAGGTACTTTACATGAAACCCCTGGTTCATTTTCAAAATTTTCAAAAATATATTTCCATCATTTTTGATTAAATCTTGTTGTTGAATAGGGTGAATAACGTCTAAGAGAATGGTGCAGAACTTATTTACGTTAAAAGCTCTGATGTTTCAAGAATTTCAAAAATTCAATTTTTTCCGGCATCTTCCTACAACTACAATTTTCAAAATAGAGATGTTTATCTTAATATAATCTGTTCTTAAAAGATAGATTTTGAATGGTCATATACAATTTTTCTAAAATTTGAGAACTTTTCGCATAATTTTGCGTGAAAGTACAGGCGAGCACATACGTGGTGTTTTAGCACTGTTAGTTTTCTATGATATTGCAATTTGCTCTGAGTGTCCGTTGGTGATCCCCAGACATCACTATTCTTCGGTTACCGTATGGCAATTGGAACGCGTCTGTTAAGATAAATAGATTCAATGTTTTCAAGGAGCATAGTCATTTCTTTCTATTCCTTAATATTTAATCATACAATTATTGAACTATTATTTGAAAGAATTAGTAGTTTTGCCTTCATTTCTACTTATACCTTTGATTTTTTCATTGATGCTTGAAATATTAGTAAGACAAAAGATTGATTCGGTCATTCATTCAGAACAAATTGAGACATGAGATATAGGTACAAAATGTAATAGAAATATAAAATAAATCCTTACCCAAATTGGGTTTTCTAATGTTAATACAGAAAAACCTCGCAAAGCCGAAGCCCATAAATCCAAAATTCTGGATAAGCCGAACAAAATTAGAGATGGAGAAAAATTAACAAAATAAATAAAATGCTTATTTGTAGTGTAAAAAATGTATTTTATAATTACTGTATAACTGAACAACTAGTTATTAAAACACAAGTTGTCGAAATGAAAGTGTATTACCCTGGTAACTCAGACGTATATCACATGTTTATGTAGCAGTAATTTTCACTTTGAGGAACTTGCAAAATCGGTAACCTTTTGCCATAAGGAACTGAGTCTGCTTGATGATGCAATCGCTACGCTACTCTGCTTTGCCTGGTATTCGTTATTTTCAAATGTTCAGTACATTTTTCGGATAATCTGAATATTTTCGAATCCGATCAGTTCACACCCCCAATTATTTCGAATTACCGGGGTTCTACTGTAATTATAGATTCGTTTAATATTAAATACATATATTGATTACATACCTTCATAATATTAAAAGCTTTATTTTGAAATAATAAAATACGTTAACTTGTTTTTATTATTCTCCTATAATGTAACTCCGAGAAAAACCCCAACGCAGGGAATAGCAAAGAGCGCACTTGGCAGAAAGATGCACGAAAATATCTCCTAATCCTTTCCGTGTTTATACTCGAGGCAAGTGATAATAAGCTTAAAATATCTAAACTCAGTATTCTCTCGACGTAATATTGATTATAACATACAATTGCATTTAAATTTAAAAAGTCCTGTTCTGAAACCCTTCACGGGATCTCCGCCGTGTGCGACGTATCCCTTGCCCCGTAGCAGTGGGGGCTTGTTGGGGAGGGAAAGGGGGGAGTTGTCCAGATCATGTAAACACGCGCCCCCAATCGAAATGTTGATTCGCGAGGGCCAAACATGGGACGTCAGATCACAGCGGGATTTTTTTAACGAAATCGCCCATTGACGAGTTTTGCACAACTCATCGACACAGACCGTCCCCGTTTGTCGGATCCTCTCGCTCTACAGGCACTGGCGAATGTTAGTTTGTCGCAGTTTTGAAATGGGCGGTTCATACGGGACGAGCAGGAATCACCCAAAATCTTTCCCGGGGTGAAAGGAGTTTTGTATCCGGATTCGTGGGAAGAAAATCAACCCAGTAAAAAACATGATCTTTAACTGTTTGCTTGCTTCTACATCATTACAAATTCATTCTCATAGATACTTTCTTTGCAATAGTCGTATGGAGAGAGTACTTTAAAGCCTTCTGTGATAAAACAAATGAACTCTTTAACTTCATATATGCTCTTATTTTGTATGGTGAATATCAACTCTTGACACAACACGAAATGTACTCTGCGATCACTTTTAATGACTGGTTCGCGTTTCAACTAAGCTTCTGGCAACTGCAATCGTCTTCGGAGAATTCGTTCCTTTTTTTCTTGAATAATTTATAGCGCTGTAGTCTACCTGCTTAGTCGGTGCTATTTTCATTTGGTTTAAATATAAGCTTTCCAGTTATTTTTCTGCGTTCAGTGTCGCGATATTTGGAAAAAAATAAAGCTCACCGCGCCTAACTCAAAAAATGTAGGAGCTTAGACTGGATTTTTCCCAAGGAGGTCTTATGATCGAGCACTAGGTGAGGTAAAACTAGTGAACAGGAAGAGAAAGGGGCTGCCCACCTGCAAAACTAATCATGAAATTTCTCGTGGCTGTCACCTGTTGAGCTTTATTGTTATTTTCGTCCTAATAAAATGTTTGTAATCCCCTTAGAAGTCTATTTTTACTGTCACATTTTCAATTTTTAGTGGGTTATTCTAAGGGAATTTCTTGTGTTGTATTACGTTGTACATTCCTTGTTATGTGTCCTCTATTTCTGTAAGTCATTGTCATATTATTTATATATGTCATTATGTATTTTATGTGTCCTATATTTACAAATGAAATATTTCCAAGTAGATCTCATGATAAAAGTCCTTTATTCTCATAAGAAATGAAATACAATCACAGTAAACTTTGAAACAAAATACAGTCAACTCTAGTTTTATGATCCCTCAGGGACTAATTTATTTTTGTTCATTTTATCTGAGGTTAACCGTATCCGACAATACCTAAATAAATGCAGCTTTCAACATTTATTTTTTATTACAGAGCTACAGTAAAATAATCAGTGGTATCGAATTCAAAATATCAATATCTTCGTGTTTGATAGATGAATGAATGACGTAATGAAAATATCTAGCAGAGTTTATAACACCAGTCAGCATCTCTTGCGCTGTTGGAGCACTTTCTTCACGGTTGTCCTGACTAATAGTCATCATCTCTATCACGGCACTGCACTTCTCACAGCTGGAAGAGACTTTCACTTTATTCACGATATCACAATAGATATATTGAATTTCACTTCTTTTAGACTTGTGGTCGGCGTAGATGAATTCTTCAGGCAGGTCTGCAATTGATGAGATGAAGCAATTCCATCAAGGGCACGGTTCGGTCAAACCCTGTCAGTTGTAAATGTCACAAAAATATGAGACTGTCTAGCGGTAAACTCTTTTTGTTATAGGAATTCACATAGCCGATTTTTAATCTGTAAGTTATATTAACTAAATGCACTATAACTGATGCTGAGAGTTCATTTTAACCAAATATTCTAGTGCTTATTTGTTATGAACATGAACCTAGGCCAGTGCTCTCTTTTGCCATTCAGTTATTATACCTTGATCATTTCCAGTTTTTTTAAGCTTTCGCAACAAAAAAATGGGGTTACAATTTCAAATGAAAACCGACGATAAACCAGCCTGAGCATATTTGGAAGTGCAAGCACGTAGTTTAAGGGTTTGGAGGAGGCTCAAAGATTTTAGAATTAGCGACGTAATAAACATTATGTAGTTCATTGTACATCTCAAGATTTACAAAACAACTAAGATATCAAAGAGTTTCCGTGTGAAATTCCACTATTAGATGTCATCTATATTCGCTGACTAACATTTTATCTAATGTTTTATTCCTTATTTTTAAAAGTCAAAGTGTGAAAAGGAGATCGGGTGAGTTCAACACATGGAGAGTGCAATACAAAAAAACATCGTTGCCCGATGATTAAATGTATATACCAGTCAAAAATCCTTAACTTTTCACAAATCCTAGTACTTTCAACAAAATTCCTGGTGCCAATAGCAATTGATTTAAATTCTGAAATTGTTTATATTAAGACAATTATTTTTAAACGTGCATAGCAAGTTCCTTAAACTTCACTCGTTAACGATGCATTTTATATTAACTATTCCACTCGTGAAATTAATACCAATAGTGTTTATCTATACGTACAAAATGCCCCAATTAATGCTGTGAATCTCAAAAGTTTATAGCTTCTTCTATCCGATATTTCATACCGCTTCTTCCTACTGGCCAACCATAAACTGTGACTTATCTATCTTAGGAGACGGTATACATCGATCGCTTTGTCGATGTTCAATAAACAGCGTATTTTAACATCTCACTCTTTGGTTTTAACATATCTTTCACTTATTTTCAATATTTAGCCCATTTTAAAACTATGCTGGATATAATTCCATTCGTGGAAAAGTCCTATTAAGTATCACACGCTCTTTGTTATTTCTCAGATAAATCCAATTCTAGCTTCGCGAGTCGGGAATTTATCGACAATTTCCAAAGCACTCATGGCATTACCTATGATAAACTCAACGTTGTAGCATGTGTTAGAAAAAGGCATGTCCTAGGCCACCTTTCATGTTTTTATGGCAGTGTTTTCACCACTATCATAATTATTTGTAATATTGGTGTTCGTTTTAAGTTTGTAAATAAAATTTACGAATATTAAAGTCGTACATTGTTTATAATCATAGACTTAAAATCTTGGTATTTCAACCTACCCGAATGTCTTCATGATATCTTCATGAAATTAGTCGTGATTTTGGTACGTCTGGCAACATTGCAATAAATGTGTTTTGGTCGTGAAGGCCGCAGGTTCACTGATGGCTCAGATGTCTATGTTGCAGGAGGGAAGTACGAGCCGGTGCTGCTGGACAACGCCTACAAGGTGCACATGAAGCTGACGATCAAGTCTGTGGGGGCCCACGACTTCGGCTCGTACAAGTGCGTGTCCAAGAACTCCCTCGGCGAGACGGACGGGAGCATCAAACTGTACGGTGAGTAACGTAAGGGCGGGAAGTTACGGATTTCTTATGATCAGTCAGTGAACGAAGGGCTATTTAATAACGTGTGAGGTCGAGCATCCAAAGAGAAAGTAGTATTAATTTTAACAATGACATTGAATGTATAATATATCATTTGGATTGTATAATTGTAAAGAACCTGTAACAAGCTTCTGGGTCAATGACCCCCCATCTCGATCAGGTTTTTGTCCAGTTTCCCTGATCCTCGAGCAAATGCTGAAATGACCCCTTGTTTTGCTTCTGGACATAAATGTAACTTCAAGTTAACTTCTCCCTATAGCACGTCACACACATATTTTAACAGTTTTTGCTGTAAATAAATAAAAAATAAATGAATTCGAAAGGTACAGATTGGATGATTGCAATAACGTGGTGCAGTTTACTGTACTCCATTCCATCATGCAACTTTTTTCCAAAAACTTGTAAAGCAGATTAAGAACATTATTGTATTTTTCGGTAATCAATTATTTTGGCATTAATTATTTTGAAGAACTTCACTTTGAACTTATAAATGTTTCTTGTGAATCACCGTTAATGTGAAAGGCAACGGTTTGGCGCTCTCGAGCGGTCTAGCGATATAATTTTGAAATATAATTTGGCGACAAAAATTGCAAATTATTACTATCATATAGCTGCGATACAATTCCTTGCGTTGCATGAGTGGAATGAAATGAAATGAAAACAATGAAAACAGCAAAAATTTATTTGTGAGTAGGATGGGTTAAGGTGCTATGTGATTCCATTAATGTAGTTTACTGTATCCATATCCCAACTAGAATATTGACATCGCAGTATCCAACAAGTTTGCATAAACTGCACTTATTGAAGTTGTTTTTCACATTATTATCTACTTTGCTGATAGTCAAATATATTATTTCTAAAACATTAACATATATTTTCACTCATTCTAATGTCAATCATTATTCGTTACATTTCGTAAGAAATAACCTTCAACATATCGCAATTCTTCACATTTACGTTGAATTAATTTATGCGATTACGTTTAATGAAACAATATTTACAATCATAAAACTGTGAAATCTAAATATTTTTAAGGTTAACGAGCGCTACAAGGAATTTCAAAAACTACATTAAGTAACAAAATGTTTAATAATTTTACAATCTTCTGTCCCATATTTCAATAACGTATCCTCTTATTACGTTCTTCAGTTTTTTAACTTTTTGATATTTTTTAAGGATTTTCTCTATCAAAACCTGCGTTCCGTACGATTGGGCTCTGAATATTTTTACATGGCCTTACTGGCTTCAGTCGGAAACGGAGTTTTTAAATAGGGTAATGTGGCGATGACAATTGTCATTACCCCGAAATATTTTATATATTGTAGAGTATTTTACTTATTAAGTGTTCTTCAAAAAATTAATTGAGACAGTTACATTAGGATTCAGATTTTAACTAAGCAATCAACAGTTTTGAATAACTATTTCAATGCAAAATCGGATTGTTCTGTGCTCAGTTTTCCACTTTCAATTAGCGACTTCATTAATAATTTCATTACTTTCGAGTAATGAAATGTAATGTAGTAATTAATGTAAAGCTAACATTATAAATCTTTGATAATGCAATAATAGTGTGAAATATTTGCGAATGACGAGGAACCAAGAGGTTATAGCAAAGCAGAAGAAATGCTCGCTCCCTGAAGACTGGACAATCTTGCTCCTCTCAACCCTAGAGGGCGGTGACCCTGCTCCGTAACGAGGCGATGAGAGGAGATGATGCGTGATGAGTGAAACAGCCCGCAGCCCCAGCGTTCGGTTTGCGCAAAGGGCCAAAGGGCCAAAGGGCGCCTTGTCCTTCGCCCTTAACGCGCAGGCCTAAACGAGCAGACGGCCCGTAAAGGATAATTGATGGATATGAGCTCTTGATACCCGAGCTGAGAAGCCCTACTTGCCATTGTGGTGTCGTAATGGCGTTAAGGAAATTATGGTAATTCTGTGATTATGATTCATTTGCTTATAAAATGGTAATAATCATTTTTGTGAGTCGATAATGTGTTCATCAGTCATTCCGCTGACTAAAATTGTGTACCAAGACATTTGGTTCTTGCCTTTGGCATACAGTGTATAATTCGGACTAAATAACTGAAGAGAAGACACATTTGCCATGACCATCTGGTAAGTTCCAACAGGCCAATAAAAGCAATACTCCAAGTTGATAGGGAGAGAACGTATTGGACCAGAGTTAAGTTGGAAAATATTGACATAAATTATGGATGTATAATGACCACTTTTTAACACTCATATTTCCCTTGCAAATGACTCGTACAAATTAATAAATTACAGATTCTAAAGATTGATGATTAAGAATAAATACAATAACAATAAATATTTGTCGACGATTAAATTGCTTTTAATAAAGTGTTGTTTATGTATGTCTGCGAGAAAATAGATTTGAATATTATTTGCTAGATTTGTAAAAACTTTTGAAAGAGTGTTAGTGGAACAGGTGGGAAAGATGTCAGTCCTTCTGAACGACTGTCTAGATCTATTGTACCTATCTTAGATGGTTAATACTCCAGTTAAAATAAAAATAAATTACAATTATTTAGGGGTAATCATTACTTACGTTATTTTTGCCAGTTCAGTTATCCTTGGATATAATATTTTTCACCACGCTCAAAAGTTTATATACTCGTACGTATGCTGTATTGGTGATAAATGCTGCGTTTCATTCGGACGCAGAGGAGAATATTGAGTTTTTGTTGCAAAGAGAATGCATTTGCCTACGATATGTGTGGGCTGCGCTACTTTGTCCGTGTGCCTGCGTCGTAAATGTGCGTTGGTCGTGCGAGCGCCGTTCACGTGACTGAGTGACGAGAGCGCCGCCTGAAGGTGCGGTCGACCACAGCGCGCGAGGCAGCTGTACCTGGGACGAGCGCTGCGGTCGCCTGTCCCGCCCAGACCCGACTTACGCCTCAGCGCCCCGCCCTGCCCCGCCACCGCCCCTCCCACCGCCGCCAGCGAGCAGACAGGCGGCGCAAAATGCAACGGGCTGAGTAAATGGCCCCGGGCACAATCCGCCTCGGCAGAGCCCGACACGCCGCGCCACGCAGCACGCCGCCAACAGGAGAACCCCTCCGCCCCCACCAACCCCAGGTCTGCCCGCATCGATCCACAACCTTTCAGGCCCCTCGTCCTCCGCCCTTTCCAATAAGACACCGCACCCCGCAACCTAGCCTGCAGCTCACCACCCTCCGACCCCACCTCTCAGTCCCTCTCGCCTTCCAACTTTCCAAAAGACGACCCCGCCCCGCCCAACCGACCGACTCACCGCTTCTGGTCCCGCCTTTCTACCCACCCACTCCTGACTTTTTCTCTGCCCTTTCTCTTCCTCTGCCCCCGCCCCGCAACCGCTTCTTGGACACCGCGAGAGTAGTCTTCTCTTGGTAGCCTCGCCCGAGCGTCTTCTTCCACGTTCCGTTCCCACCCCTTCCCTCCCCGCCTCTTCCTCCTCTCCCTCTCAGAGACCGTCTGGTGCCTCAACTCTGCTTCCTGTCGCTCGTCTCCTGCTCCCTCTCCGCCTTCAACACCGGGAGTGATAGATCAGAGCATCAACTGGTCCCTGCATTCCCTTTGCCCGGGAAATCCTAAGTTCCAGTCCCGACTGGCTTGTCAGATAGGTCGAATTCGGTCACTATCTGGAGGAGAATTCCAGCGGCCGGCTGCTCTGATCGGTAGTTTTCTGTGTCCTCCGATCAACACCAAGCGAATGCCGGAGCAGTACCCTAAGCAACAAGCTGCGGGCCAAGCGCGATATTTTCTACCTCTTCCTTGCACACACACACACGCGCACACAAACATGCAATACATTACCACACAAGCCGGGAGGCCGGTCTTAGAGATTGTCCCTGCTAGGGCCCTGCCCCGCTCGTGGGAGATAACTGCTTGAGGAAAACCCCGCTAGCCGACGCGTCGCGACGATTGGTCGGTGCCGGATCTCGCCATACAGCGGGGGAAGACCACTGCCGACCCCGGAGCAAAAACATGCACTACTCCGACGGGATCAATGACCCTAATAGTTGACGTGCCCGGAATCACAATCAATCAATCCTTAATACGCCTTCAACGTTCCTCCCCCTGCCCCTGAGGCTGGAGTTGCCATAAGATTGTGGGGGGTGGTGTGGCCCTCACTCACTCTCTCGCCAGGGCCTCCCCTGGTCACTGCCGAACACAATTAGCTGCACGCGGCAATCGAGCAATCGGCAATCGAGCAAAGTCAATTCTTGTACTCGGCATCACTCGTACGTCTGGAATCAACAAATTTTCACATAAATACTTCGTCATTGCTCTGCTTTCCATTCAATTGAACACAGTTAAATGTCATAGAAGTATTTAAAAGTTTATCGTGAAAAGTCTTCTATGAATAGTTTCTTGGTCATTTTGCATTGACTGAAAATAAACATTGCGTGAATCAGTCAATGATTTTGATACTCCATTCTCTGGATTTGTTTTATTAATCGACTGTTTCAAATTAAATAATTATGTAATGTAAAATTGTATTATTTATTTTTAATAATAGAAACAATAAAAGATCACAAGTTTATCTCAATGCGATGCTCACCAATCAAAATTCTTTACAAAAAATTATTTAACAAATGGATTTGTTAATACAACAAAGAATAAGATACCTTGCTAATTTGTAGGTAATTGATTGATAAACAGCAGCAATGCAATACTTACACCGGCTTAGGTGGCTCAGAACATCAAACGCTCCTGCAGTTCCTCTCGCCGGAAGGTTCTGTCTGGAGTCCAGTCGCTGTCTGGAGAAGGAGAATTCTAGCAGCCAGCTGCTCTCATCGGCAATTTTCATGGGTTTTTACAAGCGATATCAGGCGAATGCCGGAGCAGTAACATCATAAACGGGCCACGGACCGCGCGCGATCTTTCTTTCTTCTTCCTTGTCCTAATCTCACCCCTTACTTATACATACTTCCACTTACATGCCCTACACTACCACACATGTTAGGCTTAAACATTGTCCCGAATGGGGTGGTGTACCGGGGGTGGAAAATACCTGGTTGGGGAAAACCTCGCAAGCCGATGTGGTAGGTAGGCGCCAGACCTCTCCATCCATCGGTGGAAGAACACACGTGAAAAAAGCATGCACCACACTTACGGGAATAATGCCCCCTGGGATACTGCCCTGGGAACGGGAATAATGCCTCACGTAGCAGTTAACGTGCCCTGAAACCCGAAACACTCAACCTAGCAAGCAAGCAAGTAATAATTATCAAATTTGATGACCACGTGGTTTGGTTACGCAAAATTAGCAGGTCTCATCAAGAAGTTCATCAAAATAACATAAAAATCCAAATGTCTCTAAAACATGTTTTACAATGCATTCGATTGCACATGGAAGATCCTATTCTTTCCAAAGACACTTTTCAAAAGTGTATAACGCACCTGGAAGAGCAGCCTTTACTCATTTCCTTCCTGCCCCTCTACGTGTCTCATATCATTACCACAACGCGCTTCTAAAGCTGCAGCAAACGACTTATTTTGGAATCCGAATGGTGAATCAGCTCACAGAACGTCAGTGGTGCTCTCTTCTGCCGAAGAAGAGGCCTATGACTTATTGCCTTTCAAGACAGATCAATGGTGTATTTTTTCTAAGTACGAAAGCCATTTATCACTAAACCAGTGCTTTTAGAACAGAACTTCCATCCATTTGTCTTCCAAATTCAATTCCACTCCCCAAAGGGAAGGAAAACAGAAGGAGATTAAAGAGTTCTTTTATTGGATGAAGAGAAAAGAAATGTATATTCCAAAGGCTCTCTCATAAGAGACACTGTGATGAAATATACTTGTCTACGAGCCTCCCATATAAAGATCCATTTGATAATGGAAATCTGAAATAGGAATTCTCGTTCCTGCAGACTTCAGAATACCAATCTCGTTAGACTTTTAAGTTAGTCTCAAGTAAAAAAGAAGGGTTCTTAAAAGAAACGGAAAGAATGATGTTTGCATGTGTTTCCCTCTTGGAGTCAAATTCTTGATTGAAACATGAAGAAACAAAAGATCGTTTCTCTAAGATTCATGCACTCCTGCATGCGATCAAATATTAATATATTTTGTTGTGAATCTCGCTGAATTTTGCTGATGTAGAACAGTTGTACTTGGTTGTGCGTACTCTCTAAACGATTTGTTGTCTTTCTTTCATTGAGCGCTCACATTAACCAACAAAAGCGCTGTAAAATGTGTTTTGCAAGTACCCTAGAACGTATGGCCAGGAACATAGTTGGGAAAAGTGAATTAAGCACAATTTTGTTTTAACATACGTCACGGCGTTCAAAGTCCTTTTTCCTAGAGAATGGAATGAACTATATTTACGAACTAAGAAAATAATGAGGGGTTTAATTTTTCTGAATTCAAAATGTTGCGTGATGTTTCAGACTAGGGAGGTTTTGTAGGAGTAATTAGCAAGATTCTTTTACCACTGGAATTCTTCAATATCATCGAAAGAAGAGTAAATAATAAAAAGCATTATATTACAAAAATAGCTGAAAGAGTATGATAATTTGTTTGTTGCGACTTTGCAACACGTCTCTTAATCCTTCTTAGGCATTGAGCGTGTTGGAATAATCCTCCGTTAACTTTTTGTCCCATTACGTCCCAGCCAGTCTGTGTCTTTTATCCCTTCGGGCTGGTGCTCAGCGCCGATAGTAACCGAGTATCCCAGACGGTCACCCATCCAGTTCGTGGTGCCTTGAATTTCTTAACTTCCGTGACTTTAAGGAGCGCAGTTAAGTGAGTCGGCTAACGACGCTGGATGATATCCTGAAGGAAAACGATATCTAATGGTTATAGTTGTTTTATACGAATATAATGAAAATTAAAAGTACTTGTAGATGCCACATGCACAAATACTTTTAACGATCAGCTTATGAGACAAAATGGTAGGACAGCCTTACTAAGATATCTCGTAAAAACGAGAGACAATCATATCGGATTATGCGTTTGAGTTAAGGTTTGATTATTTATATTTTCGGTTTTCAATTTTTCAATAGTTAATTTCTTATTTAAAAATGTTAAAATTATTAATTTTTAACTTTGTGTTCCAGCTTCCATGCCTACCCCTTTACACATAAAATACCTTAAAAACGGGTATTATATTTCATAAAAATCTGGGGAAATGTTGGAACTGTTGGTGCATTTTACTGTAAATGTGAGATGATATCCTCACGTGAATTTGTGCTGTTCTTCTCCCATCGGTCTATCAAACAAACTCCTCTTCGATCCCAAAAAATTGTATTTAGGTTGAAGAAATCCATCAGGAACTACTGGTGGGACTGGAACAGGTGGGACTACTTTTATCCGTCCAAGTACTTCTCTCTTTCTTCAGATTAAGAAAGTACTTTAGAAATAGCAAAAACACAGAAGGCACACACGTAATACTCGTATCTGTAGAATGAGGCCAATGTGTGGCAGTATTTTGCGTGACGAAGAGTGACCAATGAGAAGAGCTTGATCGGGGATGCGAGGAGCGCCGGAGTGCGGGCGAGCAACGCTTCGCTTTCTGTTCCAGACATCCCCGCTCCGTCCACGCCGCACCGCCCGCCCATTACCACGACAGAGCTCAGTCTCGCGACAGGTAAGCCCTCCCCGCTCCCGCATCGTAGCTACCGAACCCGCTCCCCGCCCCGCACCGCGCCTCGCACCCCGGCCCAGATCCCCGCTTCCCCGCCCCGCTCCTCGCCCCGCACCCCGCTCCCCGCCCCGCTTCCAGCCCTACACCGCTCCCCGTCCTTCTCCAGCCCTGTCCCAATCCCCGCCTCGCCCCTCTCCCCGCCCCGCATCGTGGCTCCTGTCCCCGCTCGCAGAAGGCTCCACCGATGCTTGCTCTGTGGACCGCCCCACGTGGCCCGCCTCAGGCTGAAGTACAAACTCGCTGGGTTCACTGCGTGTGCAAAAAGATTTAAGGAAATGTTCAAATATTGAAGGTGAAAAATAGCGTTTCGACAATGTAGTTAATTCTTGGATTCGCGATGAAATAGGAAAGAGAAATCTTTCCCTTCTCTTATGGCACTTTAAAATTTATTTTGTAGAAATGTTTCCTTTCTTGAAATTCGAAATGAAACTCATAAAAAAATATCGTTACAATTTGATTTTCTGTATTACAATATTTACTATTCCATTTCCATACAGATAGAATTCTTATTTTTTTTATTCTTTAATTTTAGTGTATTGGATTTTAAAGTAGTTATCGTACTGGTACTCGAGTTTGTTTTTACTTCTCCTTGACGGACTGCCACAGCTCAGTATCGACCAACCTGCCCAATCGTAGACATGCTATGTTGCCAGTTTGACTACCCATGCTTTTTCTCATTTTTGCCAGTATTGTTTGGAGTGTTTCAGAGTAAGAGTTTTCAGTTTGATTAATTCTGCCAAAAGAAACAAAAAAAATTTCTGTAGTTACATTGCTTTAAAAAGGCATGCAAGAACTTGCGCGACCTCTGTGAGTCGAAAGCACAGCAATTGCAGAAATTACAAATGCTTCTTCCTTTTGTTCGTGATATTATGTATTCAGGTGAGGATAATTATTCTCCAAACATTTCTATAACAAATGTTGCGTCAATACAAAATCTTTGTGCTAAGAAATAAATTGATAGAAAGGATTGTGGTGAGATGATCCCTTGTCAATTAAAATAATGCTTTAAGGATTAAAACACTGCAATATTTCTATATCATAGATACGGTAGGAGAAATTGAACAATACATTTGTAGAAAAATAGAGAAAAAATCCAATTTATTGTAGTTTTTTTTTACTCATCATATCTGTTAGAACGTTCATTTTACAATTTCGAAAAATATATTTCAGAAGAGATACTTTCTAAAAGTGTGAAATGACGAGAAAGATTTTTTCCCGTACTAGCATTATAAACGACCTTTTCTGTTTCTAGAAATCGTTCATCAAAGAGCTCTTTTCGGCACAAATGATGACGTAGCATTTTACGGCCTGAATGATTAAATCATCACATATTCAACCAATCTCAGTAAGAGATTTGTGAGTAGGTATCTATAACTGTAATAGCCCGCCACCTTTTTCTTTCACAGATGTCAAATACCTGAAACCTGACAAGAAATTTGTTTCTCAAAATTAAATTTGATTCTCTTATAAATTTATAATGCTGTTACAAAAAATAGCGTATGCATCTCGTTTATAACGTTATTGCGTTCCTACAAAATTGAAAACTGGCTCCAAATAATTTATAATGTTATTTAGTTCCTACAAATTTCAGAACTCGCTTCCAACGTCGCTCGTTTTCAAAATATGTACTCATGCGGTAAATCTTAACATTATAAACTATTATATAATTCCAGTCGAGCTCTTAAACTTCTTTATCAATGTACATAAATTCAACAAATGATTGATACATACTAGTGTGCCGATAAACAGGCCAAACCTTGCATCAAATTTGAAACAACTATACTGCCAAGTGTCTATTTCCCATTTGTTTCCAACATTTGCTTTGTCAAGTTTTCTTCTTAGCTTACTAAAATAATATAATTTCAGTTTGATATACGAGCGTATGCATTATGCATAAAGCATTATGCTCGTATGCATGTTATTTTATTATAGTGTAGTTCCTAGAACAGACATGACTTTTAACTGTACCTTTTTCATGTGTGAGAATGTCCTGACACACTTGTAAAAGATTCCGCAATTTTTCTTTACTTTTGTATCAGCTTTTCATAACATCAACAGAATTAAAGTGTACATACTAATGATAATATGTCTTTGAGGGGTTCTATATTAGAATTTGTTTGACTCTATGGAGCAAAGGCTTGAAGCTATATCGAAGTAGTTGAAGGTCGGGGAGCTGAAGGCGGCGGTCCCACGTTGGTGTTTTCGCCATGCAATATAACGAGTTTGGGTTCTTACGTCACAACAAAAATCACACCTTATTCATAATCATTCATCTCTCATCTCTTATGATCGCCACTACCATTGTTCATGTAGTGGGAGGCAGTGGTCAACCATTATTATAATTATAAAGGAGAATGGAAGGCAGAAAGACAAAAGCATCCTTCGCTAACCCTCGGAGATCGAGTACGACATTCGTATTTGATTTCTTAATTGACACAAATAAAAATTTCTTAAAATGGCCAATCAGGGGTTTCTGATGTTTTCAATTTTTCTAAAGAAATATAACACGTTCACAGTTGAAATATGTGCGAAAGAATAAAAGACAGATACTGTATATTTAACGGGTTTGTAAAAGTTGGTGGCATTTTCAGGCTTATTTATTTATGCGTGCGGGACGAGTGTATTATATGAGATTGGAATTTTAAGGGTAGTCTCTACACATTTATGAAACCTTGTAGTGTAAGAAGGAACACTCGAAGTAGTGGAAAACATTAGTACCATTAAGTGTGTATTCCCCATAGTTTCAATGCAATCGAAATTGAAAAATGCGCAAAATTTTTCAAGGACCATATTGGACAGAACTTCGTTTACGTTTGTTTCAGCTTAGCGCAGCACGTCGCAGTCGAAAGCGAAACCACTGAAAAATGCATTTGTTCAAGGTCTTGCTAAAAAATTATTTTCTGAAAGTGTGGACGGAGCGGTGCAGAACAACGTCGCACTGCTACACCATAAGTGAACACTGTGTTATAATCTTATTTTCGGTTAATGTTACTGCACAGCTGTCGTAGCGAACCGGAAATATGATCTGCTCTATCTCACACGTGTTGAAATAATATTAAGTCGGTACCAAGAAAAATTAATATACAATACTTGCCGAGTAAGATACTCGAAATTATTTTAAGAAATTTTTCACTTCATAAATGTATTTGTGGTTCTCAAATATGTAAAGCCTTTTAGCCGGAAAGGTAAAAAAAATGAAAAAGGAGATTATCCCAAGGGCAGCAATGATCATTTTAGTCATATTTCGCCATAAATCATGTGATGGGACCGTGTACGAAAGGTACAGAAAATCCAAAACTACACTCCAAAAATACAACCCCATCCAATTTGAAATTTCGTAGTCTCGCTTTAAACAGCGAATCAATGAAACTTGATTACAATAGTTTTTTACGGGGCCACTGAGGGGTTAATATAATTAACATATTATTACTGTTAGCTAGGAGAGAATGCTTGAATCACTCCTAGAGGAATACTCTATGAAGCCTACTAAAAGGTTCTTACTAATATAAGCGTAGTATTAGGATTTTTTAGTACCCTCAGTAATTCGGCAGTACTTGGTAGAGACCTCCGAATTCCGTGCTTCGATGCCTGCAGTTGTGCATGGAGGAGTAGGTTTGCTTTCTCCTGACTGACGCTGTGATTTGGATCTCCCGCATGCTCCCCTCTGGCTGATGTAGATGGAGCAGCAGCAAGGGCCTCGCATGCTGACCCGCGCCTCCCCGCGCTGCGCCCTTCGTGGCGAGCGTGTGGCTCATGCAGGGCCAAATCCTCGAGGCAAATTGTCAGCGAGAAAAAATGTCCAATACTTTTGGCATTTTGTCCGCAAAGCAAAGTCCAATGGCATTTTGTCCGCAAAAACGTCCAATTTAAAAAGGTATACATGTGAATCGTGGAAAGATAGTCCATAGTTCGAACGAGCAACTTATATTATTGTATCATGTCAAATGATGCTTTTAGGGACACTACTAGAAACTACAAGTAAAATTTAAGACAAAGATAAATTACAAGTAACATTCGTTTTTAATTCACAGAAGAAGAAAAATGTTTTAGGCAAAGCCACTTTCATGTGCCATTTACATTGTTGCTAACAACGTGAGAAGTATAAAGGCTGCAGGAAATGCAAGGAAAGGCCTTTTCTCTTTGGACGTTTTTTCCGCTGGCGCGCTGAGGGACGTGGAGTGGCGATGGCGAGTGGTGTGTGTTGTGTCCGCAGAGTGGCGCCTCAAGGGCAGCGGGGCGGACGGCCTCAGCCCTCAGGAGAACGAGATCCTCGAGCACTCGGACCCCGAGAAGGTCACCCGCGAGAGAAGTACGGTTTCTTTCTCTTTCATCATCATCACCACCACCATCATCATCATCATCATCATCATCATCATCATCATTATTATTATTATTATTATTATTATTATTATTATTATTATTATTATTATTATTATTATTATTTTCTCGCCGCCCTTCTGCACATTTTTTCTGGTTGCACACATTCTAATTTTCAATAGTATTAGCAAAATACAAACAGAAACGTTGTAGAAGCAAAAATGAAACTAGGTCTACATTGAAATGGGTGCGAATTCCTAAAACTGTTTAAACCCTTCATGTCTGCTGGCACAAAACCAGTTTAATCTATCTAATATTTTAATAACTAATATTTTCAATATCATTAGCTGTTAAATCTCAAACCTTAAAATTTCTATTTCATATAAACAGGTTCATTCCAACTTTCAAATGTTGCTCCAATATTGATTTTGTTTTTATTTGAGGTGCTTTTTGTAGAGAGCTGATTTAGTGATCTGAATAATTTCA